ACACACACACATACACACACCCTAGTGCTCAAAAAATATGAGACATTGTCGAAGAAGCCACAAAACCTAATTATCACAGACAGACAATGACTGCATCACTTACATGGCTCTTCTTTTCTGGGTGGGAAGGTTAATTCGATTACCAGTTGGTGGGCTTACATCGTGTCTTCGTTATCTAGGGTTTGGCATGAAAACACATCCGTCTTTTTTTTGTCTTGCTCTGTCTTTCTTCCTCCTTTTTGTTTTGTCTTTCAATGTTTCCTGAGTCTCTTTCAACAGAAGAGAGAGCCTGTCGCTCTCAGCTGTTTCTCTCTCTTTTCCCTGTTGCCTTCTTGTCTTAATTCATATTTTTTTACTCACAAACACAAATATACACACAGTTGATTGCAGTAGGCTCATTCTAACACACTGACGTGACTTTGACAGTTGGTCAGAGACAGAGGAGTTTGACGAAGACTTCAGGAGGTATACGTTCTTCTTCGTGTCTTCCTGTTTCAGATGTGAAGTGACCCTCTGACCCCCTCATTCGCCTCCTTTTGCTCTCATTTGATTTAACTCCAGTTTCCATCTTTACTCTGCCTCTCTCAGAAGAAAGTACTGTTTTCCACTGCACTCTGTTTTCTCGCAGTGTTTCAGGCTGTGTTGTTCATGGACACATACATATGGGCTGCATCTGTTTTTATTACTTAGTGTCACAAAGCAATTATTTATTACACTACAGTTTAGTAAAAAAGGTTTTATATGCGAAATTCCAAAGCACCAGCATCTCAAGGGACCAAAGAAATGGGAGTCAAAGGAAATTAAAACTGCAGACAAAACTGTCTTTGTTAGTCTTGTCCAGCAGTCACCGACGCTGGTTTGTCAAAGGAATAAACCTTTGTCAGAAAGTAAATGTCAAATAAATATTCATGAAAAGGGCTGCAGCGGCCGCAGTGTAACGCTAACGGAAATCCATGGGGACAAAATTATATTAACCATTAAATTCTTGTTTTTGCAAGAAGAGGCTCTCAGACTGTTGACAGCTCAATGGAAATAATTCCTACAGAGATAAATCCTTAGTTTAACCAGAAACAGCCAACAGTAATATCACTCATCACTCTCCACCAGATCAGAGACAAAAACCATCATTTTAACCGGTTAAGATCGTTAACTTCGATTCAAACTCAACAGGAAACAGAATAAACTCATTAAAACCGTCTCTGTAGTGTTTCCACACAATCACCCCAACTTCTGTTGGTGAAATAAATCCTTAATTCACCGACGTAGATGATAAAAAACACCCAATGTTGACTCTGTGTTTATTATGTAGGAATAGCTATTGCTGCTTTATTCATGTATTAAAATTCATATATATATAACCTTTATGTTTTCTTTTTTAAGTGTACGAAGTGTTTTTCTACCTTTTTATAGATTGTTTTGCATAATAATAATAATAATAATAATAATAATAATAACAAACAACATAAACATTTATTTATATATCATTTTTATACACAAAATGCAGCTCAAAGTACTAAGTTTAGTAATTTAGTCATATACAGATCTATAGATTTTTAAACACTTTTATACGTCACATTCACACCTTGAAGCTGCAAAGTTCAACTAATATTTTAGTATTTTGGTCACCGATAAACTCCCTTCATGGTGTAGTTAGTATCAAAGTCCTGCTCCTGTAATTGTTCTGCTGCAGCAGCGTTAGGTTCAGGGATATGTGTGTGTTCAGGAACGACTGCAACAGCCTTCAGAGTGTACGATCTTCTGCTCATCGAGTTGCTTTTCTCCCATTGAGATGATCATTGGTTTTGTGTCATCCGGTCCTGGTGTGGTTTGTGCTTTTAATGCTGGGAGTCATAACTCAAACTCAAAACAAACTCAAACATGCTCCGTTAATGTAGTCTTTTCATTCTTTAAGACTTTGATAAATTTGGGCTTGAGGGGCCAAATATATATGTACATGCAGGTATATTTCTATAATAATACATATTGACTAGCAATGTCTAACTTTCTCCTCTGTGCTTCAGTATGAGATATTTGGCACAATATAGTTGTAAAACAAAGAGTTTATGCATTGTATTGTATGCTCCACATGCACACATTTGCATTACGTATTTCTGTATGGTAAAACTAAAACATACAGCAATCCTTTAATAATATGTCAACAAGTTGTATTACGTGTTTCTTATGTTTAAAGTGTAAAATAATACAAAATAACACACAAATTTTGTAGAATGAACAGATTTAGGCTGTTTCGTTGATGCTATCTTGAATCTTAATCTCCCAGCAAAGTGCCGCAGTTGTTGTTGTTGTTGTCCTTTTTTGATGTTTTTATTTATGTTTGTGTTGCTGGTGTTATTGTTGATGTTGTTCTCATTGCCATCGTTGGTGATCAGCAGCTCATCATTAACCCAATCCATGATCCATATTTCTCTCATATCTGACCGAATCTTTTTCATGTTGCAGTGGAGTTTGACCAAAACATAATCCTTCCTCCTGTCCTCCTTTTTTCTTTTTTATGTTGTTTGGGTGTTTCGCGTTTATAAAGCTGGTTAGAACAGGAGTACTGATCTTATATAAGCTTTCCAACAAAGCTTTTTTGGGGGGCTGTATTTCCACCAATGGAAATAAAGCACAAAATTTTGCAATTGGATTCGTAAAAAATATGGTATGACTCCTGAAATACACTGTAATAAGTTATTTCAACTCAAAAGAATTGTTGAAACGATTACATTGACCATTTTAAGTGACACTAACTCAATTTTGTGAGTTAAAAACATTCTTGATTAAGCAGCTTTTACTAGAAGTTGTACTAGTTTTTTACTAGTTTTGTAAGTTACAGAAACATTACTTTTTATTAGGTATTTTGTTTTCACAGTACAAATAAAGTTTACAAAATTAAGTCAGTGTTACTTAAAATTTTAAGAGTAAAAGCTGTTTAATTAAGAATGTTTATAACTTACAAAATTGAGTTAGCGTTATTAAAAAAAAACGTATCAGGTTTTATAGTGTATTTAGGAATTGAGGTGATGGGAAGAAATGCTGAGAGATAAAATACACATGGATAAAACACATAAAAAAGTGTTTACACTAATATAGAATAGCAGTTTTAACGTATATGTGGTTGTAGAAAGTTTTTAAACTTAGAAATACAAATTATTGCATCTTATTGACTGTAAAGTTCAAAACAGTATCTTAGCAGTGTCTTTAAACTTCATTCTAATCTTGTTATATTATTTAAAAATCTTATCTTATCTTATTAAAGAATCTATCATGTTCATTCCATATTTACATCAAGGATGAATTGTACACAAAAAAAGTGAAAACGTGGCCAAAAAGAGGGAATGGGGTTTTAAAAAATGTGTGTTAATTGTTTCATAATTAAAGGATTTTATTAAAAATTTAATCGGTTATTAAATGCTGTAGTAGTAAATATTGCCGGAAGGAACCGACTGTAACGGATCAGTACTCCTGCTCTCTAAAGCTTTATGAATACAGGACTTGTAGTTCTCACTGTCTGTTTGCTTCTGTTTCCCATGATGCACCCAGCAAGAACAGATACTCTGTGGCCTACGCTACCCAGAAGTCCTGGCTGCTCAACGCTACCGTGGAGGAGAACATCACCTTCGGCAGCCCGTTCAGTAAACAGAGGTACAAATTCATTGTGTTCATTTCTGTTGTATTGTTTGGCTTCTTTTGGTGCTTTTCTCACTTTGTAATGTGGAAATTAACAGAAATGTTGTGTCTTATATTATTAAATGGTATTATATCTTTCAAAACTACCTGCCGATATGAGAAATTCACCTTACAGCTTCCAAGTTCTGCTGGTGATTATGATTTTTCAGGTACAAGGCAGTGATTGACGCCTGCTCTCTGCAGCCTGACATTGACCTGCTGCCTTTTGGAGATCAGACTGAGATTGGAGAAAGGGTATGCACAGGTTCAATTTATTATTGAATGATTATTTACCATTATTTACACCGTCAGGGTTAGAATTTTATGCACATTCATGGTCTTTCAGTGGTGTTTTAATGCAGTTTTTGGTGCTGTAAAGATAATATTTCTCGTCATGTTTTGCTGTGATTCAGGGCATCAACCTGAGTGGAGGTCAAAGACAGAGAATCTGTGTGGCCAGAGCTCTCTACCAGAACACCAACATCGTCTTCTTGGTGAGCAAAACCTCTTAAAAATTGTTAAAAAAGATTAGCGATGTGGTTTTTTAGTACTAATATTGTTATTTCTGGAAACATTTGAACATAAAATACTTTCCGAATTACTCCAGTTTTGTTGTGTATAGCTGAATTAGTGTCATATCCTAACCCTACATTTCTTTATGTTTGATTGTACGATACAGTCGATGCTGGCCTTTGGGATGAGGAGGTGTCCGTTTCTTCCTCACTCCTCTCTCCGCTATGCTGTCATGTGTTTATGTTTCCGAGCAGTTGCGTAATTTCCTGTTGCCACCGCAAGCTTTAATTTGTTATCAAGCCCACATTCCTCATTAAAAAGCTATCAGTGGCATTCTTTCATACACTCATCACACTTTGTAATGTTTAGAGTGTGTCACTGGTAAAACTGTAATTTATAATGAGGAGGGAATGTTTTCTTTAATTAGCATTATTTCAGTGTGAAAGTGCAGCTGCTTGGGCTCCTCATATCTGATCTCAGGATTTGAAATATGCGTCATCGTACACACTCATCATAAAATACATAAATTAATCATAACCAGAGCTCTTAGCGCCCTATAGCATGCACTCTATAAAACCGACCCACCCAGCGAGAGAGGCATTGATGGAACAAAGCAGAGATTTACAACTTCACGAGTGGGTCAACATCATAGAAACGAGTGACTGCAGACATTTACTACACTGATGATGAGTCACAGAAAAGAGGTAGAGATATGGAGATTTTTAAACTTTTTTACAGGTGGAAACTTCCATGGAAAATTCAGAATAAATGAAGTTTTTAGAACTAGGTTCGGGACCAAAGACCACGCCTTGCACTCATCTCTTTTCCGCTCAAAACGTACTTAAGCACACCTCATCCGTTCACTCCCTCCTCGACTCAGTTTCCACTTCCTTCCGATACCCCTTCATTCCTCAACCTTCAACCCTTCATCCCTGAACTCTCATCCCTGCTTCCCTTCATCCCTCAACCCTTCATCCCTCCTACAGTACACCACATTAGTTTACATTTATTCATTACAGGCAATAAACCTTTCTAAATTCGATGCGTTCATTGGCGTGGTTTTTGTTTGTGAAAAGAAAAGTGGCGACTGTCATCAGTTCTCCTGAATCATCCGTACAAACCATTTAAGAGCGAATCAGTTCATACGAGGTCGAAATCTTTTTATCCACAACACAAGTACCTTCATCACCTGAATGCTAACCTGTAGATTACAGTCCACCTCACAGAATGTAAAATCTGGCAGCGTTCAGGACAACACTACAACAAAAAGAACTAAACTGCAACGCTGCATGGTGATAAGGATCTCCCTTACACCTCTCTCTCTGTCTTGTGCCTCGCAGGACGATCCCTTCTCGGCGCTAGACATCCACCTCAGCGATCACCTGATGCAGGAAGGAATCCTCAAGCTTCTGCAGGACGACAAACGGACCGTGGTCCTGGTCACCCATAAACTGCAGTACCTCACACATGCAGACTGGGTAGGAATCCTGAAAGTGATTTTAATACATGTAGTGAGCAGCATTTATTACAAGTCAAACTGTTTCCTGTGTGTCTTATTCAGATCATAGCGATGAAGGACGGCTCTGTGCTGAGAGAGGGAACTCTGAAGGACATCCAGAATCATGACGTTGAGCTTTACGATCACTGGAAGACCCTGATGAACAGACATGACCACGAGCTGGAGAAGGTAGCGTTGCATGGTTTCAACAAATATCAGCATCTCATGACGACCCATGTTTTAACCACACAAACAGCGCTGATCCTAATGTAGTGTTTTCTATCGTCTCTGTAGGACATACAGCAGGACAGTCAAACAACTCTAGAGAGGAAAACACTAAGGAGAGCTTTCTACTCCAGAGAGGCAAAGAACCAGATAGACGATGAGGACGAAGGTAATGGGTTCACCATCCTTTGAGGTCTTCCATTGTCATAAATGAACTAAGAACCTGATAAAACTTGAAATGTAAGTGTTGGATCGAGCATTGTAAATTATAATCTATAATTTTTTGATTATGATTTGATATGAATTTGTATGTATTTTCCCTTTGTGTTTCTTGTTTTTGTCCGATTGTTTTCTACTCTTACTCTTGTAAATGTTCGGATTGTGTCTGTTTGTATTGTGTGTAATAGTTTACTGATTGAGTGAGAGTTTGATTGAGTCATATTTCACATGTAATACCTGGTTTTCATCCTATCAGAGGAGGAAGAGGAGGAGGAAGATGATGACAACATGTCCACAACCACTAATAGAAGGTCGAAGATCCCATGGAGGGTAATCTATCTGTGCAGCTTTACCCAGAAACTATAAAAATATTACTAGCATCACTATTAGCTGGTTAACTTTGACTTTGAGTCTGCTATCCATTCAAGCCTCTGCTGCTCCTTCCTCCCCCCAGGTGTGCTGGTGTTACCTGTCCTCTGGTGGGTTCTTCATGGTCTTCCTGATGGTGTCGTCTAAACTTCTCAAACACTCTGTCATCGTTGCCATCGACTACTGGTTGGCTCTCTGGACCTCCTCCAAAACCAATCAGAGTACTGGAGGAGGAACGGACCTGACCAACGGGACCAGCACGGTTTACGGCAGCAACAGCACGCAGCCCACGTTCGCTACTGTGGAGGATGAGGTATAATATCTCTCACAGGGGTTTGATGAATAGTCTGATGAATCTTTAAGATTTGGGGCAATTATTTGTAGATTGAAATTGCTAAAATGTACTTAAAATGCTGAATTTTAATTGTAAGAGGAAGCAATTTGCATAACCCCACCTGTTCTGAACATGCACGATAGATGTCTACATGTGTTCTTCCCCAAAAACAGCACATATTTGCATTATATACCAGAAACAATTCAACTGTTAAGATAAAACATTATTGATTCCCTTTCCCTTAAAATAGTATGATAAATGATTCCAACATGCTGAGAGCAGTTAAACAAGATAGAGATTAGATATAAATAGATAAACAAATGCATTTGAGTTTCACTACTGTAACAGATTTTGAAAAATTAATGACATACAGCTGTGCATTCGTAAAACATTGCTCTCTTTGTCTGTGTGTGTGTGTCTGTGCGTGACCCACAGCAGGACTCCTACTACCTGCCGGTGTTTATCATCCTGTGTGCGGCTGGAATCACGCTGTGCCTCATCACCTCTCTCACCGTGGAGTTTCTGGGTCTTTCTGCAGCCACCAACCTGCACCACAACCTTCTCAACAAGATCATCCACGCTCCCATCAGGTACACAAACACACACAACTGTAACTACTTATAACTACTCCAGTGCAGAGTTGTTGTGACTAAGATGAATGTTAGTTAAACTTGTGGTCTCCTCACTGGGAAGCTGTTCATCGTCCTTACAGTATGTAGTCACTCACTTGTTTTCACTGCACAAAAGGGGCAGTTTTATCTTGAAAAAAAGACATTTGTTAGGCACTGAACTTTGGCTGTATCACAAATACTATTTATTTTCCCAGGAGGGCAAAGTCATGAGCTGCCCTACTTTGCCTCCGATTTGCTTTTAGCCTGATATTCCACGATATCTGTAGCCCTGTGTGAAACAGTTTCGGTGCCTAATAAATGTCCTTTTCCAAGATCAAACTCTACATTTTAGACTGGCCTTGTATTGTGACTAAGCCAAAGCACACATGTGTGTTGATATCTGTCAGGTGGAAGTTCTTACTAACATAGATTTAAATAAGTTTTAAGTCAAAATCTGAGAGAAATCAGCATTTTGTTTGGATAGAAAAAGTCTAAGATCTTTTACTTCATAAGTGGGAGCAGTTGAGTGTAGTTCCTGATTGATAGGATTTTAGGGGCATCTAGTGGTGAAGCTGCAGATTGCAACCAACTGAATACTGCTCAGTCAGTAGGAGAACTGTAGAAACATGGCGGACTCCGAAACTAGATAGAAACAGCTCATTCTAAGGTAGTAAGTAGTAAGTAAGTAAGTAACAACAAAAGCTACATCAGTGTGCTCTCTCTCTCTCTCTCTCTTGCCTCCTTACTTTTTTCATTGGAGCAAAGATCAGATAGAAGCTAACATAACCTTTGTTTAAATGTCAGAGCTGGAAAAAATTCACCCAAAATATGTGCTTTAGATATTATTTGATGCATTTATTTCCTCTGTCTTCAGGTTTTTTGACATCACTCCTCTGGGGCAGATCCTCAACAGATTCTCAGCTGATACCAACATCATAGACCAGGTAGGGAGATGATTTCTGGATCAGTAGCAGGACACATTGTGTAGAGGTTTAAACCAACTTTAAACCAAATCTAAAATTCACTCTCACTTCGTCGTCTTTCTCTCTTAGCATATTCCTCCGACGCTGGAGTCTTTGACGAGATCCACGTTGCTCTGTCTGTCGGCGATCGGGGTCATTTCCTCCATCACTCCAGCTTTTCTGATCGCCTTGGTTCCGCTGGCGGTGGCCTTCTACTTCATCCAGAAGTACTTCAGAGTGGCCTCCAAGTGAGTCCACGGTTAATTTGTTGTGGAGCATGTTTTGTTTGTTTTTCCTTTGAAACAAAGACAGAACAAAGATCTGGGAATTTGGTTGGATGCAGTAAACGGCATCTTCTTAGAAACAGGAAACATTAACTTTTTGAATTTATGGGCACGTTAAATTAGGGTGAAAATCAAATCCTTGGTAGTAAGTATAGAGAACATGAACATACATACATAAGTATATATATTTATTAATAAGAAATTGCATATAAACTCATACATACTGTGAATACTCTCTCTCAGGGACCTCCAGGACCTTGATGACTCCACACAGCTTCCTCTGCTCTGCCACTTCTCCGAGACCGCTGAAGGTCTCACAACTATCAGAGCATTCAGGTACAACACACACACTTAACTTGTCTCTGTCACCTGTCATTGGGGACACTTTATTTAACTTTATCCTGTCTGCACTGGACATATTCCAGCTGTTTTTTTTGTGAAAAAAGCATATTTTTATCCTGTGTATCCATTTTATTATACCTTTAATTTAACCTTAATTCTTACCGACTCTAAAACTTTCCTCCGTCATTAAAGTTTTCGGAACAGATTTTTTTGTGTTGTTTCGGGAGAGTGACGGCCCACAGAGAGAGTGGGAACAGCTCAGCCTCTTGTAGCTGCGGTGCCAAATGCAAGATGGCAGAGACCCTGGACCCAATATTAACTTTTTCTTTTTATAACTCTCTCGTATTATGAATTTTGTAACAAATAGAATAAAAAAACACAACAGACTCGGTGTGCAAATGCCTTCTAACCCTAAAATAAACCTTTTCGCAGCTCTCTCTGCTGTCCCCAGATGGTGGCTGACAGTGTGGCTATATAAATAGATCCCTATAGCCAAATCACAGTGGATTGCATCCATTAATTGCAGGGTAGCCCCAGCTATAATCTACATGTGGTTCAGAGAGTGTCCTCTCTGAACCACATCTGCTCCCGATGGGTAGGCCAACACCTCCTGTGGCTCCTTGAGTGGATGTGTGAATGAGACGCACATTGTTAAGCCCTTTGGGTGAATGTAGCTGGTGTAATAGCAGTGGTTATAGAGCCAGTAGTGATTGTATTAGTGTTAGTAATAGAGATAACTGTAGTAACAGAAGCTCTAGTTGTAGTTTTATTGGTGGAAGCAGCAGCAGTGTCCTCTTGTATTTCTGTGTTCACCCTCTTTCCCATCGTTGGTATAATCCAACATTAAACAGCTCTCACGCTTGTGTTCTCCTCTGCTCCCTGAGGACTTCCTCTTCCTCACACACACACACAAATATACAAACACTGAGAGACTCACACACACATAAACAAGTACATATCACACACACACACGCACACAGAAACAGTGAATCTGGTGTTGAGACAGATTCTTGGCAATCATTGGATAGTTCCCATTATCATTACCCTCTGGTCTCCCTCCAAACCAAGTCTGGTTTCGATGGCAATGATTTACTACTGAACACAGATGATTCGATAAAATGAATAACAGTAAAACTATATTATATTCTTTGAATTACACACTTATTTATCGTCCTTTTTTATTTCCTGTTTGCTTTTTATTTATTTATTATGAGTACTCCGTTTCATTCACTGCTTCATTTGTGAGTTTATTGTTTTTAAATATCTATTTTACATTGAGTGGAGAAAGTTTTTGGCCCCGTCAACTTCCAGAGATGATCTCGGTTGGCGATCAAAGGTGCTTTGAGATTGTTGAGAGATGTGTTGTGTATCTTACGTGTGCTTGAATCTCTGTTTCAGACACGAGGCTCGTTTTAAACAGCGCATGCTGGAGCTAACAGACACCAATAACACAGCATACCTGTTTCTGTCTGCTGCAAACCGCTGGCTGGAGGTCCGAACGGTGAGGAACTGTTTTTGTCTCAAATGGGTTATTATATATATTATCTTCTACATAAGGGATAATGCCCGACGAGGTGTCCATTATCAAGAATGAATGAACGTCAGGTTCCTGCTTATACCATGGTCGCTTGGCAAAGGCAAAAATAAATATCATTATTTTATATTTTCATGTCATCACGGATGATACTGTGGTATACAACTTATTAAACTATATGCTCATTAAAAACTTAATTACCTCAGACATACTGACAAAAGTGTGGATGCTCACATCGTTATAGTTACTGTTCTTGGTTCTTTACACTAGTTTTATTAGTGGTTGATCTGTTTGTGATTAAACCTTTCTCCTTCTCTGTGCAGGACTACCTTGGAGCAGTGATAGTGCTGACAGCAGCAGGAGCCTCCATATGGAGTTCACTCTATGGTCTGCTTCGTGGAGGCCTGGTGGGCCTCGGACTCACATACGCTCTCACTGTGAGTTTTACCTTTAAGTGTTCTCTGATCTCTGGTCTCTGGTCTCACTCTGGTCTCTGGTCTCACTACCTGCCATGCTGTTGCTCTGTAAACAACAACGCAGAGATTCCACGGACAAAACGTCTTTTCAACTGGAGACTTTTTGGGGGGTCAGCCCTTATCTTAATAACGGAAACATGACCCAGTGTCTTTGTGTAGGTCACCAACTACCTGAACTGGGTCGTGAGAAACCTGGCAGACCTGGAGGTCCAGATGGCAGCTGTGAAGAAGGTCAACAGCTTCCTCGGCACAGAATCGGAGAACTACGAGGGATCTATGGGTAACTGAGTTCTTCTTATCATGCTGACGTTCACCAACGTGATCCAGTCTTATTATTTACACACAATCCTGATGTGAAATCATCAAATTTTCTCTAATATGTCTGCTATAATTGCAGAAACCTTTATTTGGCATCAGTAGAAAACGAGGGATAAACTGTAACATCTGCAACATTAAAAGTAACCTTGCAAGTATATTTAGACTTTATTTCGCACACGAGACCTCAATATGATTTTGTTTTCCACGTACAAAGAGATGAAGATGTGTTGATCGCTCCTGATTTATAGAATGGAACTGAATGACCTGATCTAAAGCTAAACCAGCTCTCAGTGTGTGTGTGTGTAGTTTTATCTTAAGAGTCCAGAGGTTTTGGGTTTATGGGATGCGCTGCTGTTGCTATGGTGAAATACATGCCGCTGGAATTCATTTTTTTCCTGGCAGGACAGATAACAAAGCATGGAGACTTTTCGTTATTGAACTTTTAATCCGGGTGGTGCCACTGATTACTAACGTCGAGTCAAACCTTTTAAAAAATCTTGAACAAAAAAATGAAAAAAACTCAGACAGAGCAGCTATTTCTGGAAACATAATAAAAAAAGAAGTTCCTGAGGTTGAAGGATGTCTGGAAAAAATACAAGAAGGTAGAAGAGTGAAAAGCATCCAAGAAAGAAAAAGCCTCTATTAAAATGTTAGAAAAGTGGAGTTAAGGATAAGGTTTCCATCTCTGTGTCTCATATAATAAGTCATTTGTCTCATTGACTTTTCATCTCAACCTTATACAGTAAATGCTCGTTGAAGCCATAAAACAAAACCTCCTGAGTGACAGAAAACAGAGAGATTCTTCCTCTCTGACATCATGGAAGCTTCCAGCGAATTGATAAAAGTAGAAAAATACTCCAAAGTTAGGGAGGAGCAAACAAAACGAAGCCTGCAGCAGCAGAACTATGTAATTCTTATCCTGTCAGTGTAGGAATATGAATAATGTGGCACACAGGCACCCGGTTGAGTAGCAGGGGCTCGGTTCAGCCTTGAAAACAGTTGTAAATTGTCCACTGTGATTCTGGAGAGAGCCCCACATGACACTGGCATTTATCCAAGCATAGAGATTTAAACAAAAGAGCTGTATTGTGGAAAATGTAGTGAAATATCTAGATTTCAAGATATCAAGAGATTTGGTTCAGACCTTCACGTCCCCGCCCAAACTTTTGTGATCCCTTAACTTTTTGTGTGCCATCATCAGTAAACATTTGAATTGGTCCAATACTTTGATTTATGTCCAAATACCCGTTAAACTACATTCCCATCACACACAGTTAAGCTTTATTTTTTTCTGCTAAACTAAGACGCTGAACATTGAAACAACTGGATGAAAGTGCAATTTTAAATCACTTGAGTAATTATCCTCCTCCATGTTACACACTGGACCTTTAAATAATACAACTATTACTGTTGTTATTATTACTGTTGTGTTAGTGGGGAATCTCAGCAGCACTTTAATAGGTAAGTCATAACACTGAAGTGTTATGACTTGGTCCATATGGTCTATAAGCTCCTGTTTACAGTAACATGACTGTAACATAGACAACTGGCACGCAGCTGGTGGTCTGCTTTTTGTTGCAGTTATCTTAACACCACAGACGGCGTTTTCCAGTGTATTTTGGCCTGTAGAGAGGAATAAACCCGCCTGTGTTTCTCTCCCTTCAGGCGCCTCTCAGGTGCCTGAGAACTGGCCCCAGGAAGGTGAGATAAAGATCCAGGACCTGTGTGTGCGCTACGATCCCATGCTCAAACCGGTGCTCAAACATGTCAACGCGTACATCGAACCAGGCCAGAAGGTAATTAACAGGAAGCTGTGAGGAGAGTGGGGCACGACTGCAATAGAGTGTGTTAGAGTTACACCTAGAATGGTTTTAAAAGGCAAATACTGAGCATTTCTGCTACAGATATGATCTCTGTTCATTTTGAGACTAAAACTTTTAACTGAAACACACAAACACACTTTAACCTGCTTTGTTTAGCATTTATAAACACAAAATATAGATATAAATATACATAATATATAAATATACAAGTAATAAATGGCTCATAATCCACTTTTAACAATGCAGATATAGGGATATTGTTATTTTAACTTATCTGATGAATAAATATTATATTATTACAACTGTGCTTTACTTTATTTATACACCAGCCTCCATTTATAGGTGCCCAGTCATAGTAATTAGCAATTATGATATGGTTATTTGATCAATTATTCTTTTAAATTAAATTATACTTTTTAATTGATAACCAAAACACCCCTAAAAAACATATACTGGTCTTTTAGAACTGATGGAAGAAGAAACTTGAGAAACTCTCAATGAGAAATTGCCAGAGCAGCATTGTATTAATCCGTGTGATGAAGCAACTGTAAATGGCCTGTAATTCACACACTGTTGCTGGGAAAGAAGGACCTCACATCACACTGAAATAACAAAGTAGTGATGTGTCCATAGGCGGAAAGAAATGTTCAACAGAGAGCCAGAAGAGAGGGACAGGAGGAGATAAACACAGTTAATGAAAGGAGGACTCACAGGAGGATTAAAGGGGAAGGATGTTGAGTTTTATATACACTGAAATATATATATTTAAATTATTAACTTTTTTAAAATGGATGAACATGGCAGCTTGTTTGGAAACTTCCTCATATTGCGAAAATAGTTCACCAAAAATGTGTTTCTGAAAACATTTTAAGCGAGAAATATGCCATTCAATTGTCTTTATTTTAGATTGACAACAGTTAGTTTACGTTTTTATGAGTTTCCAGATGCAGAGAGTTGCAGTGCCGGACGCAACTGATTTGCATAAAGCAGCCAATATCACTACTTTATGCAAAATAAGGAGCAGCTGATGCGGCACTACCAGAATGCATTGCACGGCTGCTCACATAAACAGTGAATTGAAAACATGGAAATGACTGATCCTGTGGACACGTACTTTAAGGCAGAGGTCTCAAACTCTTGGCTGGTATTGCCATCTCATAGGAGGGCCACTTAGAAAACATAAAAGCTTAAAATATTCTTGTCTTATCAACCCTTTGCACATGTTTGGATAATAATAATGATCTTGTGGTGCAGATAATGTTATATTTTTTACAACATGACCCAGGCCAGACAGGAAATGACCCCATTGCAGACTCAGAACATTTCTGAAGTCTGGTGAAGAGCCAGCAACTTTGCTTTAACACTGTAAAACCAAGTTAGTTAGTTAATGTAACTCAAAATCAAGGTTGAAACTAATTACATCAAAAATTTCACTCAATTTTGTTTGTTAAAAGCATTTTTACAGCAATTTTACTGTGAAAACAAAATATAGAAAAAAAGTACTTAATCAGTATTCTGTAATTTATAAAACTAAGTTAAAATTAGTAAATCATCTTTTTGACTTAAAAATTGAGTTTTGTGTTGCCTAAAATGTTTGATGTTATCCATTCCAACAATTTATTTGAGTTAAAGTAACTTATCGCATTACACTGTAATTTACATCCAGTGTGTTTTACTTCCAGACTTAAATAAATGGGTCCAAGATGTGCAGTTATATTTCAGTCCTTATTATTGTGTAACTACCAAATGGTAATGTTAGATCAGAAGTAATTGAATGCTAACAATACTGTTGTTTTACCTTGAAATGTAGCCTGATGTCTCTCTCTTGATTTTCACTATTTGTTGTCTGTTCAGTTGCTGATCAATCGGGAAGCGGTGAAATAATAACAATTTGTCAGATTCCCTATGCTTATACGACGTGCGACCTGTACCGCAGCAATACAACTTTATTCTTTTGATAAGAGCTTCCCACCCTGAGCTGCAATATCGTTTTTAATATTGCTTAAATTAACAGGTACAGTCTAGAATCTCAAAGGCTAATAAGACAACTGTGGATTTTGTTTAAATGCGGACTTTTCCTTTGAAGTCACAGCCATGTGCCTCCAATAAACTGTGAACTGACACTTGGTGACCAAACTTGGTCCACACTCAGCATGTAGCTGCCACTCTGTTATCACACAGGTGTCCGATGTCTCGCCGCAGTGTCACAAGTGCAGCTTATTGACTCTCTTCTCTTCCTGTTAGGTGGGAATCTGCGGTCGCACAGGCAGCGGGAAGTCCTCTCTGTCGTTGGCCTTTTTCAACATGGTGGATATCTTTGAAGGTGGGTCTGTCTCCTGTCACACTGTTAACCGAGAGAGAGAGAGAGAGAGCTTACATTGTTTTTTTCCACTTCTTTCATCTTCATTTTAGCTTTGGTTTCTATTCCTGCAATCTCTCTCTCGTCTTTCACTGGTTGAGTATGTTTATGTCTCATTAAAGGGGTGATTCTGAAGATAATGTCTTGTCTGTTTGGGAACACAGCCTGAAGGATTTCCCTCAGGGTTGTTGCCTTGAGTAGCTCTTGACCCCGAGTTCTGCTTTACTACAAAAACAACATAACGCTGTTGGCCCCTCGTTTTGTCTTTCAAATGTTCCTTCTTGGCCACTTCCTCTGATCCACTTACAAGATAATGAGAATGTACTTTCAAATAAACTGGGCACTTATGCCTTTTAAAATGATTTAATAGATCATATGAAAGTTGAAAAACCTTTGCAGACCAACTCTGTCCTACAGAGGCAAACCACAGTAACTACAATT